AAATAACCATATTAGATTTGATTAAATATCCATATTCTATTAGTTTTCTTTTGAAAAAGACAAACCACTTCAGGCGGTGCTCCTTTCAGACATTCGGGATGTTCATGAAGTTTTCCAGTCATTTCATAGTATTTACAAATATCGAGAGCTTCGGTGAAAGCCTGAAATAGACTAATCGGATTAAATAGACTTTACAGCACCGTATAGAACTGTTTTAGCCTAACTGCTTTAGTTTTTTAGAACTGCTTTAGCCTAATTGTCGATAAATGTACAACGGAAAACGAGATTTAACCACTAGAACGACTACTTTTCAACGTCTCTAAAAAAAGGTAGAATTCTCCAAGCTCTATGGTTTAAAAAACGCTAAAAAAATAACCATTGAATCTTTTCCTTTATGCAAATCTTTTCCTTTATACACCTATCGACAATCAGATCGAAAATGAACAGCTCTAGTAAAGCTGGAATTACCGTACTTTCTAGTAAAGCTGGAATTACCGTACTTTCTAGTAAAGCTGGAATTACCGTACTTTCTAGTAAAGCTGGAATTACCGTACTTTCTAGTAAAGCTGGAATTACAGTACTCTGGAATAGTTTAGTACTAATTACATGGAAAAAAAGCTCTCGAAAAATGTAAACATTTCTGACTGTAGATCAAGATTCTCAAACTTGCCAGAACTTTAAGACCTTTCACTCAATGCCTTTCAGCCAAAATACACCTGAAGTCCTGAAGCATTGCAAGGACTAACAGAGCTGTCAAAAGTGATTTGACTATTAGACTATTTGACTTTCAAAACTTTGTTCTTCAATTACAATAAATTTTTGGCTTGGCTTAGGTGGTTTTCTTTTACAGTAACTCCATTGAAAACTCACCAAAAGCATTAACGCAGTGGCTAGAAGAGTAGGCAAAGGTCGTGGCATTTTCATGAGGAATAAACGACGATCTGGTAAGCACAATGGCACGAAAATGTCCCAAATGGACACCTCTACGATTGGGGGATGGATGGGCGGAGAAATCGAGAGATTTGTGAATGAAAAGAAAAGAAAGAAAAGAAAGAAAAGAAAGAAAAGGAACCGAGTCTTTTCTTGGTCTATCTTTTTCTTCTTCAAACAAAGACCGCTTTTTTCTTTCTTTTTTTTGACCATAACGTGTCCAGAGATTATGAGTGGCGTCAAAATGTTACAGGAAAAAACATAGTCTGGTCTTGTTCTTGGGAAAAGAACAAGCAAAGACTTTATTTGTTTATTTGTTACGTAAAGGGAACACTAGATGATTGTGGTGAACGGGAGTCATAAGCGAATGAATGGAAACATTGTTGAACTTGTTTTAGACACTGTATTACTTATAGGCTTACTGTAAGATTGAAACAATAGCAAGCGATTATCCGAGAAGTAAAGTCAGAGCTTCGAAGGGTTAGTTTTGTTTTTGGATCTGGATTTAGAAAGGAGGCCTAGCCCTAGGACGAGGCCTAGCTCTAGAACGAGGTCTAGCTCTAGAACGAGGCATAGCCCTAGGACGAGGCATAGCCCTAGGACGAGGCCTAGCTCTAGAACGAGGTCTCTATCTCTAGAACGAGGTCTAGCACTAGAACGAGGTCTAGCTCTAGAACTAGGCCAAGCCCTAGAACTAGGCCTAACCCTAGGACGAGGCCTAACCCTAGAACGAGGCCTAACCCTCGAACGAGGCCTAACCCTCGAACGAGGCCTAGCCCTAGAACCAGGCCTAGATAAAAAATCGAACGGGCAATCCAAATCTGTAATCAAAATCTGTTGAATAGCTCTAAAATTCGAGATTTCTCACATCAAAGCTGTTACTCCTAAACTGAGTTTAATCAGTTTAATCTCTATCAATCCCGAGTTTACGCTTGCACCCCAAAGGTGATCATGGTCTAGTGGCTGGTGCGTTCGTCTATAAGACTGACCTTCCTGGTTCGAGTCGGCCAATTGACGAACTTTTCCTTATTTTGGTTTTTTTGACAAAAGTTGAACAGGGGGAATTCTTATATAATTGTAAGAATCTTCACATGTAAGAATCTCTATGAGGAAGATTTTCCGAATCGTTATTTTGTAAATAAATTATATAAGAATTTGTGCAATTGAATTGTAGAAGAATCGTTGAAGAAATCGTTGAAGAATTTGTGAAAATCAAGAATATCTTTATGATAATATGGGAAAAATCGCCCAAATCATTCCGCAAATGGCACCATTCAATTCTTGATCAAATTCTGACCTGTTAATGTGCCATTTGGACACCCCGCTAGCCACCAAAATCATCGAGAGTGTCACAGTGAGACTCCAACTTTGGAGCTCAATTTCTCGATGATTTTGATGGCTAGCGGGGTGTGGCTAACAATATAGAATGCCTGCTCGCTGATTTTTTGCTTGCTTCTTGCTTTTGTCTTGCTTTTGTCTTGCTTTTGTCTTGCTTTTGTCTTGCTTTTGAAAGAAGCCAGCCTTTTTTTTCTATCATATTGAATTGAATTCATGAATGATGAAAAAGCATTCATTGTTTACCGGATCATGAAAATCGGCGGGAAAACGGGGGGAGCACATGAAAGCTAAACGATTGAAGCAAAAAAAAAGTGTGCAAACATTCGATAATCGCTGTCACCCTCGACATCATTTCGGAGCGAGGATATCCGGCCATCAAAACGGAGGAAACAATCGGAGATTCTCGATGGAATCCATCAAGCGATGAATGCCCTTCAATTCTACTGATTGAACGATAGAATAGAGAGAGAGAGAGAGATTCTTTAAAAACTAACAGCTTTTTGGAAGAAAGAAAAGAAGAAGAAGAAGAAGAAGAAAGAAAAGAAGAGACAAAAGAAATAAGAATTTTTTTTTAAAAGAAGTAACTTTTTTCAATCTAAATCATAACTCAATCATTGAAAATAATAATAATTTCTGAAACTTTCAGAGAAACAATATAAAGTTCATTGATAGATGAACTTTATATTGTTCATTGATCGTTTAGATTTAAACGATTGTTCATTCATCATTTTTAGGATATTCTCTCTAATAGTTCACTGCTTTCCTAGAGGATTTGTGGGGAGAAGTCCGTAAAGCTGAGAGTTTTGTGACATGATTGAAAGGCGCAATGTTCTTTGCTAGATTAGAATATCGATATATAAAGGGACGAAGACGTCTGTCTGTTTATCTGTCTGCTTGTCTGTCTGTCTGTCTGTCCGTCTGTCTGCTTGTCTGTCTGTCTGTCTGTCTGTCTGTCTGCTTGTCTGTCTGTCTGTCTGTCTGTCTGTCCGTCTGTCTGTCTGTCTGTCTGTCTGCTTGTCTGTCTGTCTGTCTGTCTGTCAAGGAAAACCATATTGAGCTATGCGCATGAGCTAAGCCAAGCTTATCAAGGCCGCTTTAAAGCCAACCACCTAACCAAATCAAACCAAAACTAGACCAATCAAGCTTGAACTGGCTTACCGAACCTACCGTTTCTCTCTAATAGTAGAGCCGGCCGAGTTGGTGACTATTTTACAGTTCTCAAGCTTTCACAGAAGCTCAATCCTCTAATCCCCCACTAGATCTCATCGTCAGCTACATTTTCCGACCCCACATCGATAGGTTCTGCGGTTCTTGAGATTTCGAGGAATTTAGCTTACGATGCACTACTATTAGAGAGAATACGGTAAACTCAAATTACTGCTCTTTCTCATAGAAAATTTCCAAATCTCATTCTAAGAGATTTCTTGGCTTTTGGTTACCAATTTTGAACTTAACTATGGCTCAATCATAAAAGCTTATCATCAAATGGCTAGCGGGGTGTGGCTAACAATATAGAATGCCTGATCTCTGATTTTTTGCTTCCTTCTTGCTTTAGTCTTGCTTTTGTCTCTTCAGTCTCTTCACATCCTCGATTTCTATTGAATTGAATCGACGAAAAATCTTCAAATCTCTCGATTTCCATTCAATTCCATATACGTGAAGACCTTTCTCGTGGAATCGAATCCAGAAATTTCTCCGTGAAGATTATCGAGAAGAAATGATGAATAAACGAGAGAACTGGTCTTCTTTTTCTTCCCTTTTCTTCCCTTTTCTCCCCCAGCCTCTTCCGTGTCTGTTCTGATTCAAAGACTCTATCAAAATAAGAGGCGTCTCATCAATTTCTTGCGCTTATTTGCTCAGTCTCATCGGCGGCGTTTCAGAAAAGAATTTGCACACAAAAGATTGCCAAACGATCACTTTGCCATAGATGGTCTCTGCTGGAGTGGATTCTTTAAGAGTTGAGTTTTTGGAGATTTGGAGAAATCTTTTTGAGCTTAAAAGCGTCCAAAATGCTTTGTTTCACAGTGATTTGTACTTGACGAGACATTGATCTAGCCCTGATCTAGCCCTAATCTGATCCTGTCCACTTTTGCAAACACTTGCAATTACTTACAATTAGTCTGTCAATTATGAGAACAAGTCGCTTTACAAATCGAAAAAAGCAAAGAGAAAAAGTCGAAGGTCGGAATCGAACCAGCGAAATCCCCCTTTGTATTCTAGCCGACTGCCACTGAGCCATCACTGCTTCTCCAGGCCCCTGAGAAAACTGCTTATAAACTCGAAAACGAAAACTTAAACTTCCAAAATCTCATTCAAAACTTTGCACACATAACTTTTGATAGAATGCTCCATTTCAAAAAAGGAAAACAGATTCGGAATCAGCGTAAAATTCTGCATGGGATGATCTATGGCTGACCCCAAATTCCTGTTCTTCTGACTGACTTCTGACTCTTATTCTCATAGATTACTTCAATTTCTTTTTGAATAAATTCAACCAAACAAAAACAGCAAAATAAAACAAAAAACTTTTCTTTTATTGATGAAAATTTTGTTTTAAGAACTCCCTTTTTCCATTTCTATTAGTTTCAATGATTCGGCCGTTAGTTTAAAAGTTTTCGAGGCGATTCTTATCAGTAAAGTGGTCGAATTATCGCTTTTCAAATAGCGACCTTGAAAATTCTCTGATTTGTTTTCATTTTCATTTCATTTCGTGCTTCATATTCAAAAAAAACATGCAAATCTTTCTACTTTGTGCAATATTTTTCACCTTTTTCATAACAATCAATGCTTGGTATTATGGAAGAGCCGAGCCAAATGCTTGGACAACGTGAGGAGCTTTGAAAGTTTTGAGTTTTGAAAGTTTTGAGTTTTGACAAAGCTTTGACAAAGACAAAGACAAAATTTTGACAAACTTTTCAATTACACTTACACATTAAAATTTACATTAAGAATCTACGAAAGAAAAAAGCAAAAACTTGAAATTTAGTGGTGGCGTTTGGCCTCTCCCATGGCAGATCACTTATTTCCCTGGGAATCACACTGTGAATCCGTCACTGTTTCGTTTGCAAGTCGGTTCAAAGGATCACAGAGCTCTAAAGATGAAATAGATGAGCTCTAAAGATGAAATCGAGATCTCTAAAGATCTCGTTATCGAAAAAACCGTTCTCGAAAGGCCAAAAATCTCTTTAAGTCTTTAAGAAAGTCTTAAGACTTTAAGTCTTAAGACTTAAGTCTTTAATCTCTTTAATCTTTAATTAACCCGACAATTCGATATCATTGCCGACTGGTTAAGAGCCTTGTATCTTAGTCAATCGGTCAATCGGAATTGCCAGAGATCAATCGGGAGGTCAAGGGTTCAATCCCGTCGGCTAGATTCGGATGGATAAATTTTTCTATAGATTCTAATAGAATTAGAAAGATATTCAGGAGATTGGCTTGATTCTCAGAAAGATTTAGAAAGGCTAGAGCTATTGAGCTGAGAATCAAGCCAATCAAGCCAACCAATGGCTTTTGGTGATTATTTTTGATTTCAGGCAAAAACCCCCGGCTGTGACATCATCGACAAAGCGATTCAACGATATCGCACGCTCGCTTTCCCCGGCTTCAATGCTGTGAGATTGAGTTTAATCTAGAGATCTGGCCGTAAATCCTCTAATAGACCGCCACGTAGACGGGTGTACAATGGCGTAGTCTTAAACTTTAAACCTCCCATTCTCCGCGCTGCTTTAAGCTACAGTGTGCTAAATGGTGTCAAATGATAGCCCTTAAAATCTAGTATTTTTTGGTAACAAATCGTAGTTGTAAAAGTGTACGTGGGGAGAATCTAGAGGATGAGAAAAGGCTTTCTTTCTTTCTTTCTTTCTTTCTTTCTTTCTTTCTTTCTTTCTTTCTTTCTTCTTCTTCCCCCTTGTCTTTCCCTCCTTCTCTTGGCAAGTTAGCTAGATAGCTAGATAGCTTACCGTACTACCTCGAATAGTAGCTCCCCATAATGACGGGGTATTGCCGCGTAGTCTAACTTTACACGCTCCGTTCTCCACACTGCTTTAAGCTACAGTGTGCTAAATGGTGTCAAATGATAGCCCTTGAAATCTAGTATTTTTTGGTAACAAAGCTTAGTTGTAAAAGTGTACGTGGGGAAAATCTAGAGGCTGAGAAAAGTGATTTTCTTAGTGAAAGTTTCTTTCTTAAAAGTGAAAAGTGATTTTCTTAAAACAAACCGTATTTCAATTTTGATTTATTGATTTTAAACAAAAGACTTTCTAGCCTCGATAGCTTATTACAATCTATTGTAAAAGAAATTCTTTTTCAGGCAACATATCAAGGAGATCAAGGGACACTCACCTCGATCATCATCAACGTGGCCTCGAGTTGCCCAACCGGTGTCCCGACATTTGACATGGATGAGAGTTGTAAGAGAATTTGAATTTGAATTTGAATTTGAAAATACTTTCCTTTAAAACCGATTAATTTTTAAAGACTTTAAAGTTGAAAGAAAGGTATCACTGAGAAAAAGAAATCAATATTCTATAAAAGATTATAGAAAATTCTCTAGATTCCCTATCAGTCACCAGCGCAAACGGCATTGGCATCATTCAGGCAAATCAAGTAAGTTTTTCAAGTTTTATTGAATATTTGTTGAATATTTTATTGAATATTTTATTGAATATTTTATTGAATATTTGTTGAATATTTGTTGAATAGCTTATTGAATAGCTTATTGAATAGTTTTCACTCATTTCCAGGTTTGGGGAGCGCTGCGAGCTATCGAAACATTCAGTCATCTTGTTTTTCTTCCCAAAGATAATGTGGTTTGTTATTAGTCAATTGTTAGATATTTAGCTTTTAAATAAACTTTGTTATCTCAATTTGAATTCAAATTGAACGCCTTCAAATTGAACGCCTTCAAATTGAACGCCTTCAAATTGAACGCCTTCAAATTGAACGACTTCAAATTGAACGACTTCAAATTGAACGCCTTCAAATTGAACGCCTTCAAATTGAACGCCTTCAAATTGAAACCAATGAGTCGGCTGATCCACAAAAACTAGCCAGAATCCGGGGCCTGTCTTCTGACTGGACTTTGATTTGGTTACTGGCCAGACTCTGACCAAGTCTAGTCCTTACTAGGGAATATTATCAAATCAACCTCATGTGAAAGCTCGATCTTGACAACAATCCGTAGCTAGTTTGCTATTATATCAAGATCGATTTTTCATATGAGCTCTGGCCCATCTGATAGAGTTTTCATCGGGGATTCTGGATCTGCTGTTAGTTTTTCCGGAACGTTTCTGTAACGCTAGATATTTGGCATAGAAAATCTGACAATTGGCAAATTTGGTACAGAAAATGGCCTTTTGTCGACTGGTTTACAAGCTGATGGCCTAGTGGCTAGTGTGGCCACGTGGCTGATGGCTGATGGCTGTTGCTCCTGGTTCGAATCCTTTCACTGCCCACACTTTTTGCTTAATTATTAAAAACGATTTTTTAGGGTTTTAAACAATGAGAAAAGCTTGTAAACGAGCTGAAAAAGGTCAAATTTTATGTCAAATTGTATGTGAAATATTTCGCGTTACAGAAACGTTCCAGAAAAACTAGCAGCAGATTCAGAATCCCCGATGAAAACTCTATCAGATGGCCTATCAGAAAACTCTATCTTGATTTGTGAAAGCTCGATCAGTTGAAAGCTCGATCATGTGAAAGCTCGATCATGACAACAATCCGTAGCTTGTTTGCTATTAGGTTTAGATTAGAAGGCGATAAGTGATTAATGATTAATGCCTGGCTATAAGTGGCTGGCTTTAAGTACCAGTATTGATCGTAAGCTTCTCTAGTACATGGTCCGCACGGCGAACGTCACCGACAAAGCTCGTTTCCCGTGGAGAGGAATCATGGTGGACACGAGTCGACATTTCATTCCCGTTGGAACACTTTTGCAAAACTTGGTAATCACAGTTTTTCTTCGAGAGCTTGATCCACTTCTAGAACTTGATCCACTTCTAGAGCTTGATCCACTTCTAGAAGTTGATCCCCTTCTAGAACTTGATCCACTTCCAGAACTTGATCCACTTCTAGACCTTGATCCACTTCTAGACCTTGATTCTAGGATCTAATGGCTCAAAACAAGATGAACGTCTTTCATTGGCATATCGTTGACTCGGAAGCGTTTCCCTATCCATCGATTCGATATCCAGACATTACAGCAAAGGTATTAAAGTTGAAAAGATGAAAAATTTTTCTTATTTTCCTCTTAGGGAGCTTATAGTCCAAAGCATCAATACACAGTGGATGATGTGAAAAAAGTGATCGACTACGCGAGACTCCGGGGAATTCGGGTGGTGGCTGAGTTTGATACGCCTGGTGAGTGCAAAATAGAGAGATTTCCCCGCTATGAGTATGCTAGAAAGTTTGGGTTTACGCTTGGTAAAGGTTGATGAGACTGAGACTGAGACTGAGACTGAGACTGAGACTGAGACTGAGACTGAGACTGAGACTGAGACTGAGACTGAGACTGAGACTGAGACTGAGACTGAGACTATGAGACTATGAGATTATGAGACTATGAGACTATGAGACTATGAGACTATGAGGCTCAGTTTCTAACAATGAGACTATGAGGCTCAGTTTCTAACAATAAACTTAATTCCAGGCCACACTGGTTCTTGGGGTTACGGTGTGCCGAACCTGGTCTCACAATGTTATGACAGCAATGGAAAACCGTCAATCCTTCCCAATATTCTCGATCCAACGCTGCAAGCGAATCTCGACTTCTTGAAGGGTTTCTTTGGTGAAGCTCTTCAAATGTTCCCCGATGAGTACATGCATTTTGGTGGAGATGAAGTTTTAGAGGATATGACTGATTGTTGGTGAGAGTTCGTTTGAAATTTTATTGAAATTCAGAAATGAAATCAAAATCCTTCAAAAATCATCTAATTTCTAGGTTTTCTGATATTTGATTTGCCATTAGCATTAGCCAGCTAACGTTAGCCGTTAGCCCAGCAATCTAACTTTGAGCTCAAATTTCTTGGTGTTGGGTTGTTCAATTTGAATATTTTTGGTATCATTAGATGCGCAAAGTGTTCCTCTATCGATTGTTGCAAAAATTATTTAAATTGGACCGCTCAACACCAAGATATTTGAGCTTGAAGCTAGATTGCCAATGGCAAAGGGGGCGTGGTGCGTATAAAAGGTTGGCCGATGGCCCAATGGCAAAGGGATTTGAAGTTAAAGTTGGATTTGAGCTCAAAGCTGTCAATGTCCCACAATCTAGTCTTTATTTCCGATCAAAGTCTACTCATCATCAAAGTATTATTTACAAAGTACAAAGTCCAAAGTCCAAAGTACAAAGTACAAAGCACACAGTACAAAGTACACAGTACAAAGTACAAAGCACAGTATCAAAGTTATTTAAATCATTTACAATCAAAGTCTACTCAAACTCAGGTACTGTTGTAACTTCAGGTACAATAATCCGCAAGTTCGTGCAAGAATGCAGCAACTTGGCGTTGGATCCGACACCGGAAAGCTGCTCAACTATTATTGGCAGAAGTTCGAAATTCTTTTTGTTTAAGGCTTTCATTCTAGTTTTTTTCTAGAATCTTCTAGAATTGTACTTCTAGATTTTTCGATATTATTGACTCTGTTCGAAATGGGACAAAGAAAATTGTCTGGCAAGAGGTGCTGGATCAAAATGTGCCGGTGAGTGAGCGATTGAAAAGCTTTTCATTGATCGTTTTCTAAAAAGTGCTCTAAAGCTACAGTATTTAAGGGAAAGCTACAGTATTTAAGAGGAAGCTACAGTATTTAAGAGGAAGCTACAGCATTTAAAGGGAAGCTACAGCATTTAAAGGGAAGCTACAGCATTTACGGGGAAGCTACAGTATTTAAGGGGAAGCTACAGCATTTACGGGGAAGCTACAGCATTTACGGGGAAGCTACAGGATTTAAGAGGAAGCTACAGCATTTAAAGGGAAGCTACAGCATATGTCCTCCAGAAAATGACCGAGAAAAAAAAGGAATGGACAGACGTCTCTGTAAAAGAACTTGAACAATTTTTGAGAATCTGCCTTTACGCGTCAGACTCCTCTAATTTGTCGAAGTGCCATCCGTTTCAGTCCCAGGCTCACTTTATATGACGCGTGCAAAATTCTACATTTTTCTCTCGAAGTAGTAACAGTTTGGCAAGTTAGAGGCGTCTGACATGCTTGAATCTGATTCCTAGGGGTCTCGAGGAAAAGATTTTGACCATTATTTTTGCACCAACTCTTTCAGGGCCTCGCGTACTACAAGTCAGTAACAAAAACGGAATTCGGATTCTGAATCCTCTCGAAGAGACGCTTCAAATAAGCTATAGCTCGTAGCAAAAGGCCACAGACTCCCTTGTTAGTTGTAGCTCTTATTGTTCTTATATCTATTATGTTATAACAAATTACTGACACCTGACATCAGGTGACAATGTCCCAGGCGAACGAATATGTGTCAGACAGCATCAGGTGACAATGTCGTCAACGTGTCGGGTTTACAGTATTCCTAAATCTAGGCATACTGTAAATCCTTAAATTGATTGACTTTAGCAATAAATTGATTGACTTTAGCAATAAATTGATTGACTTTAGCAAGAAAACACGATCGCTCACGTGTGGAAGGGATCAACCCTATCCGAAGTGTACAGCGAAATGTACAATGTGACTAAAGCCGGTCATTACGCGATTCTCAGCAGTTGTTGGTGGGTTTTTTCGTTCGAGAATGTTTATTGATTTGGAAAAAGAAAAAGGCGGTGATTTCTTATTTTTTTCCCCATCCCCATCCACCGTAATGATGCCCAAAGCCGCCAAAATGATGGTGGTGGAAACCGCCGAAATGATGCGAGTGGAAACGGGCTAAACATTGTGACTTTAAGACAAATTGTGGTAATCGATGACAAATGTTTTCTGATACAGTCTTGGGGCGAGTTTACGCGACCCGCTTCATTGACAGTCGTGGTGTAGTGGTTAGTGTGATCGGACGAGGGGTCTCTGGAGTCTTCTTTGTCTTGGGTTCGAATCCCTCACTCACCTTTTTCACAGTTTTTTTGATTTTCACAAATTTTCACAAAAACCTAGCACTCTTAGGTTCAAGCCTACTTTTTTAGACTCACTATCAAGACTTTTGTAAATTAGATTTACAGCAAAGTCGTCCCAGATCAGATCAAGCAAGACCTGACTTCTAAACCAACACATTGGACATTGACAAGTACCCGAAAATTATATATGTCGTAGCCGTTTACGAAATTCAGCCGTTAACGAATCACTCGTAAACGGCTAGCCTTATACAGTCTTGGGGCGAGTTTACGCGACCCCTTTCATCGACAGTCATGGTGTAGTGATTAGTGTGATTGTAGCTAACGATTAGTGGCTAACGATTAACGGCTAACCGTTAATGGTTAACCGTTAATGGTTAACCGTTAGTGGCTAAGGCTTAGGCCATTAACGGTTAGCCACTAACGGTTAGCCACTAACGGTTAGCCATTAACGGTTAGCCACTAACGGTTAGCCATTAACGGTTAGCCACTAACGGTTAGCCACTAACGGCTGGCCACTAACGGTTGGCCACTAACGGTTAGCGGCTAACGAATCATTCGATAGCGACTGAATTTCGTAAACGGCTTCGACATATACAATTCTCGAAAAGTTAAGCAAAAAATGCTAATCAAAGGAGAAAATTGAAACTTTTAAATCCAAGAGTTTCAACTCCAAAGCCATTTCAACTCCAAAGCCATTTCAATTCCTGAATACTCACCATCGATCAAAACCAGCAAAGAAATCAACAAAAATACGAGTAATAGGAAATTCATTTTGCTCAAAATCGAAAACTTTTCAAGTATTTTATCAGGTATTTACTTTCATTTATATCCGTTTTCCAATAGTTTTTTTAGTGCGATTTTTTGAGAGATCAATCTATCCCATTTTGATTTCAGTTTTCTCTCAGTGACCTTTCGCGCAGAATAAGGCAAAAAAAAATTGTTTTCTATCCGATCTACAGACTTGAGTCTACTACAGATCAACATCTACATTCGACGCAGAAAAATCTCCAAAATTTATTGGTGAAAAAAAATGATCAAAATTCATCTTGTAGATTTTCTTGTAGTTCGTTTTTCTTTCTTTTAACAGCTCGTTTTTCTTCCTTTTAACGAGCTTACTTTCTCATTTTCATTTCATAATAATTGTTTCTTTTTTCAGATACCCAAAAATGAGTAAACCAAAGAAGCCTAGCAAAATAGGAAAGCCGCGGATGAAAGTTTGAAGCAGCGGATGAAGGTTTTAAGGAAACTTATGATGGAAAAGGATGAGAGAAGGAAAAAGAAGGAGATTAGTAGAATCAAAAAGTGTTTTGTTGAAATGTTGCAGAAGCTTTGTTTAGTCTGAATTTATCGTCATTAGCTGAAAGGAAAAAACGTAAGCGTTCAATTGTTTCTGATGTCTGATATATACAGTACGTGTCTGGACAATGAAATATCATATTTGAAAAAAGATCGTCACTTTCGCGCGTCTGTAACGCGGATCGCGTTTGCGCGGATCGGCCTTTTGAAATGATCTCTTTTTTGAAAAAGATTGAATCAAGAGTTGGGAGTGGGACAAATGGGACCTTTTTTTTGCGCACCCGGACATTTGCGCACCTTTTTTCCGCACCTTGCCCATTAGCGCACCTTTTTGTCGTGTTTTAAAAAAGCTAATATTAACCTAAAGCTCTAAAAAGCTAATATTAACCAATTTCTATTCCAAAAGTTGTTTTTCTAGGTAATTTTAGGGCGTAGAATCGAAATTTTGACATAACAGAGCGTGTGGAACCAATTTGAAAGACGCTAGATCAAAACAAAACGGCTAGATCAAATTACAGGAAATTGTCGATTTTTCTCTTTGTATAACTCCGTCCGTTTGTTTCCACAAGCTCTGATATGTCAAAATTTCGATTCTACGCCCTAAAATTACCTAGAAAAACAACTTTTGGAATAGAAATTGGTTAATATTAGCTTTTTAGAGCTTTAGGTTAATATTAGCTTTTTTAAAACGCGACAAAACGGTGCGCTAATGGGCAAGGTGCGGAAAAAAAGGTGCGCAAATGTCCGGGTGCGCAAAAAAAAAGGTCGCGTTTGTCCCACTCCCCAAGAGTTTTTTTTTGTTTTGATAACAATGCGTAAGATAACATAATTTAAAGCCTTTATACATAACAAATAAGAAAAAAAAGGGAAATGCAAATGTACATAGATTTAAAGCAATTCGCTTCTCGTTTTTGGTGTCTATTTCTTTCCATAATATCCACCATAGTATCCACCATATCCACCATATCCTCCGCCATAGCCGCCGTATGGATATCCCATTCCATATCCCATTCCCCATGGGTGATGATGGTGATGGTGGTGGTGCCAGCCTGTAAGAGAGAAATGGCTATGTGATGAGTTTTCTCAAAGTACTTGTTGTATTGTGTACTCATTGTCAAGAAAGTTTGTTCGATGCTAGGCTCATTGGATACTTCGAGGACTACAGCGAAGCCCTGGGATATCCTGAGATTACAGTAGGCCACAAGAGCTATCATATTCCATAATGACATCCGTATGCACTGATTATACAATATTAAAAGCTAACAGTAAACCCAAGGACTACAGTAGAGTCAAGAACTACCGTAACCCTAGGAACTACAGTAAGCACAAGGACTACCGTAGCCCAAAGAGCTACAGTAGCCACCAAGGACTACCGTAACCCCAAGGACTACAGTAAGCACAAGGACTACCGTAGCCCAAAGAGCTACAGTAGCCACCAAGGACTACCGTAACCCAAGGACTACAGTAAGCACAAGGACTAGAGTAAACCCAAAGATTACTGTAACCCAAGGCACTACAGTAAGTACAAGGACTACCGTAACCCCAAGGACTACAGTAAACCCAGGGACTACCGTAATCCAAGGCACTACAGTAAGCACAAGGACTACCGTATACCCAAGGGCTACAGTAAAGTCATGAACTACCGTAACCCTAGGAACAACAGTAAATACAAGGACTACCGTAGCCCAGAGAACTACAGTAAACCCAAGGGACTACAGTAAAGTCAAGAACTACCGTAAACCCAAAGACAATAACCCTGCAAGCTGCCATATGCTTCAGGATACCTTAAGGGCTACTATATACTCCAGGGATTATAGTATACCTCAGGGCTACCAAAAGCTATTAGTCACTCATTAGTCTAGACCTACATTAGTCTAGACTCATTAGTCTAGACCTCTTTGGGTTTACGGTAGTTCTTGACCTACTTAGATTCTTAAAGAGATACCTATACAAACTTCTACTAATCTAGCATCAAACAAGCTCTAGAAAGAATGAAAGAATGTCTCAAAAAGCACTGACCCCATTGAGCCGTCGTTAAAGCCACCATTGCCAACAAGAAGATCACCAAAAGAGAGTTCATTTCGGGATAAAGTTCTGATTGAAAGATTTGCTCTGATCTTCCCAATGGGTTGTACTATTTATATTCCTCAAAATTCTCCCCCAAAAGATTCTCGTGACCTTTTCATCTTTTCTCGATTTCCCCTGTTCGGCAAATTTTCTCGGGGGGATGAGCGCTGGGTTTTTCCTTTTTTTTCCCGCAATCTTTCGATTTTCGGTGATCTTTTCGGTGAACAGATAAATGACGTTTTTGTTTAAAAGAACGTCTAAAAGGATATTTCTTTAAGTTTTCTTGAAAAGATCACTGAAAATATCTCTGTGAATCGCTAAACATATAAATTTGGCAAATAAAAGGCAAATAAACGGCAAAGAAACAAGAAATAAATGATCTTGGAATAGAGATGATTTTCTTGAATTTGCCAAACACCAAATCGAAAACTAATTTGGGAAATTTTGAATCTTGAATCAAAACTGATTTCTAAAGACTTTGTTTTAACGTTTTAACGTTTTAAAGAAAAAATTGTAATAGACTGAAGCTTTTAAAAGTACTGTAGCTTTAGTGATGCTTCAGCTTAGTGATGCTTCAGCTTAGTGATGCTTTGTGCTTTGTGCGTTTGTATTCGTACAATTTCTAAACAACTCTCTCTGGCACACAAGCCTTAGCTTTGTGGTGAATTTCGCCGGTTCAAATTACCCAATAATTGTTGACTTTTATAAGGTTTTTCACCTGAATTGAAGACGTTTATTTGTCAAAAATCTACAAGAAAGCCAAGGAAATTGAATACTTCCAAAAGTCGTGATGATGATGATGGTGAAGATGAGGAAAGAAGTCATGATCATGATGAAGATGAGGAAAGAAATCAGGATCATGATGAAGATGAGGAAAGAAGTCATGATCATGATGAAGATGAGGAAAGAAGTCAGGATCGTGATGAAGATGAGGAAAGAAGTCATGATCGTGATGAAGATGAGGAAAGAAATCATGATCGTGATGATGATATCCATCAAAACCATCAAAACCATCAAAACCATCAAAACCATCAAAATGGTGACCATCAAAACCATTACCAAATCTTTGTGAATCATAGAAACCGTGATGATGATGATGATGACCGAAAGGCCAAAAATCTAGAATTCAATAGCAAAATCGAATCTTTTAGACGAATCTATTTACTAAAATGTGTCTATTTACCGTAGTTTTATCTCTATTTTCATCGAATTCTATGATTAGCTAAAAAGAATAGCCGAAAGTAGATAGATTAGATCATCTAATCTATCTACTTTCGGAAATCTCCCTCACCGGAAAATCTTTTCATTTCATTTCATTTCGAATTCATTTCAAAATCTTTAAACTTCTCTTTTCTTCTTCTTGAAATCTTTTGATTCAAGCTATTGTTATTGAGAAAAGTAAGGATTTAAGAGAGAAGAATAGAGATTGATTTTGAAAGAATAGAGATCGATTGCAATATCTAAAAAAGATTTGAAAGTGAAACGATTGGAAAGAAAAATAGATCTCCAAATAGGGAGATCGAACCCTCGACCTTCTGCCTGGTGACCTCTGACCTCTACCCACTGAGCTATCCGGTACCTTAGCCATCCAGAGAAAAAGGAAACGAAAAGGGAAAGACAAAGGAAAAACGGGGCTTCTTGGTGACAATTTTTTAGTCATTTTCCGCTATTCCAATTATTTGCTTTCATAAAGCTTTGGAAAAACGAAAATTTTACAAAATTTCCCCTTGCTAACTCGTTCTACAATTCCAGGTACCTAAACTACATCAAGTATGGAGCCGATTGGGGTTATGTGAACGAAGAGAATATGAGAGACCGTGGAATGTACTATCAATGTGATCCACAGGGATTCCCCGGTGATCAAACGCAAAAGGTTTGTCAATAAATTGAATTCGTAAATCTTTTCAATCTTCTTTTAAAGTTATCTAGTAATTTAATCAAAGAAATATATTTACTTAACACTCAACAATTTTATGCAAAAGTCCTTGGCGGAGAGGCGGCGATTTGGGGCGAGTTCGTCGACGCGACGAATCTCATCGATAGACTTTGGTGAGGAAATCTTTTCGTTATCTATCTAATATTAGGTTGGAAAGAGAGTTCTCAGGAAAAGTTTGCACAGTGATTTCTCAAAAATCAAACTTTGTAAATTGAACTAGACTAGGGAATCCCAATGGCTTCTAGCTTAATCCTAGCTTCTGGTTGTCCCAGGATTGGGGTTATCGTTTGATGATTTCACCCTGCTTTTCCATAAAGTATTAGAATAGATTACAGTGAATTCAGGTTTGAATTCTCTAGTAAAGTAAAGTAAACGATTCTCTAGAAGCTCAGATTGGCCTAGCTAGGCAAATAATAGATAATGGGCTAGACAACAGGTTGTTTCAAGAAGTCTTAGCCTCAAGGGAAATGCGTAATACAAAGCAAATTAGTCTTAATACTTTGTAAACTGAACCAGATTTTCAATCCTTGGCTTCTAGTTTAATCCTAGCTTCTGGTTGTCCCAGGATTGGGGTTATCATTTGATTATTTCACCCTGCTTTTCCATAAAGTATTAGAATAGATTATATTAGGTTGACAAGAAATTTCGTAGAAAAAGTTTGCACAGTGATTTCTCAAAAACAAAGCCATCAATTCTTCCCAGATAAACTTGACTTTCAAAAAGTCAAAAAATCAGAGTAGGCTTCAAGTAAAGAGATTTCTTCAGCTGAAGTCACTTGATCACTTTTTGAATGAGCAGCCTTTGGCTATCACATCAGTCTGTTATCACACCACATTTGATAACAGACGGATGTGATATCACACCTTTAGACAAGTTTTTAATTCGTTAACGAATAGGCAATGGGTTCCATTGAAAACCTAAAGTCAAGTACGTAAAATAGGGAAAACTTTTGATTAAGGTAAATTTTTTATCCAATACTTTAACTTCTCAGAATTCACTTATTTTAGTAAACACTCAGTGCCAAGATGACACTAAAAGAATTATTTTTTGAAATACAATTTGTTGCAACACTCATTCGTAGAATTTTGATCTCTTTTGATTCTCCATTCATGAGCCATGAGCTTAAGCCTAAGCCTAAGCCTAAGCTTAAGCCTAAGCCTAAGCCTAAGCCTAAGCCTGACCGGCCAAAGCCAGCCGAGCAAGCCTAAGCCAAGCCAGCCCAAGCAAGCCTGCTGCCTAAGCCTGAGCCTGAGCCTAAACCTAAGCCTAAGCCTGAGCTTAAGCCTAAGCCTAAGCCTAAGCCTGAGCTTAAGCCTAAGCCTAAACCTAAACCTAAGCCTAAGCCTAAGCCTAAGCCTAAGCCTAAGCCTCCATCCATGAGCCAACGCGCAGGCTGATCGCTGTCCGGCACATTTTGTCAAATCTCCATTGGGGATTCTAATTAAGCGATCGATAAAGTGATGGTTGGTGCATGTGCGAGTAGTAAGCAAGTTGTTGTTTCGTTCGTTGTTGAAAGAACGAGATTGCATCGGTTTCGGTAGTCGGTAAACGGAACATGAATCCACATGAAATAGCAAAAGAATGAATTTTGGTGCCCTCCATTCACGAGCCAACACGCAAGTTGCAAATTTTGTGGATTTATAACGGAAAGAATCTAAGTAATGGCATTTTTGGCATTTTTTTAATAGCAATCTTCTAGGCCACGAGCTTCAGCTGTAGCCGAGCGATTGTGGTCTGATCCAGCATTGACGCAGTCCGCTGACGCCGCTTGGCCTAGACTTCACGAATTTCGGTGAGTTTTTATCGAATTAGATATAATATTTATTCTAATAGAAGCAATAACTATAGATATTCAGCTTAGTAGACTGAATATTCTGAGTTTTGAGCCTTTAAAGCATTTAAAGTTATCTAAGCATTTAAGAAAAATTGCATTCATTATCATTTGCAAAAATAATAGAAAGTTTAATGTTTTTCTTGCGATTAGGATTCTTATTTGAATCAAATTTATTCCTTAGACTAGATATTTATTGTTTTTTACTTCAATTTATGAATTTATTAAAAAGATTTACAACTTTCAAATAGTTTATAACATTCATCGATATTTCGATCGACATTCATCAGATTTCTATCGTTGAAAATTGATGAAAATGTTGAAATCCGCATTTCTTATGCATGTACCTAATATTAGAATAAATATAATATTTTTAAATGTAAATAGCTATATATAATTGTAAAAGAAATCGATTTTCTTTTAAACAAATCGATTTTCTTTTAAACAAATCGATTTTCTTTTAAACAAATCAATTCTCTTTCTTTTAGTTGTCGTTTGGTTTATCGTGGTTTTCGTGTGCAAACCATCAACGATCCTGATTATTGTCCATATGAATGGGATGAGAAATATCAAGAATTGTAATCTTCCAATAAACCTATTTATTAATCTATGGTGTTGAATATTTTGTGTTGAATAAATACACGTAGTAATGCATATCAAATTTCGGTCGGTTCTCATCCCCATCACCTTTCCCTTTATCATTCTTTTGCGAACCGTATTAGTAGACCAACCGATTTTGACCATAGTGATTTTGAAAAATGATGGAAATTTCAAAATCTTGATGACTGTGGAAAGTCCTAGAAGAACACGTAGTCATCGTTATCAAATTCAATCCTTATCTTTCCTTATCCTTAGAGAGATAAGGAATCAAATTTAAAGAGATTGGGAACCAAATCTAGAGAGATAAGGAACCAAATTTAGAGAAATAAGGAACCAAATTTAGAGAGATAAGAGAGTCATCGTTATCAAATTCAATCCTTATCTTTCCTTTTCTTTCCTTATCTTTCCTTTTATCATTCTTTTGCGAACGTTATTAGTACTAGTTTGGAATAAGCTCCCGTCTGGTATCTTCTCGTCTGTAGGAAAATTGAAAGTAGTATCTATTAGATTAGATCTTATTGCCATGTCAAATCTGCTCTATATTTAATCTGCACTATCCTTTTGTACCTGTGTTTCCTAACTGTAGTCTTACTGTACTATTCTTAGTTTTCTTTCTTTTGTGAAAGTATTGTAGCAATATGTTATATGCGGTTATGATTATCTGATTCGCTTCTATTTGCCCCCTGAATAAAGCATATATATAATTGTATTTAATTGTAAAAGAAATAGATTCTCTTTCTTTTAGATGTCGTTTGGTTTATCGTGGTTTTCGTGTGGGAATCAACGATCCATCAACGATCCTGACTATTGTCCATATGAATGAGATGAGAAATATCAAGAATCTACCAATAATCTACCAATCCTCTTCCAATAAACTTATTTATTAATCTATAAGCTTGAATATTTCTTTGTTTTGCTTCATCACTTTGGCAAAGCTCGCTTGAAAACAACCGGAATCTGGATTTGTTGGCCGTTTTGAAGGAAAGTCGCTGATGGAGTTTGAAATGGGGAATTTCCCGCAGATTGTTGTTGAGCATCTGAATTCAATCGAGTTAACTAATGTTTAAAGCTTTAGCTATAGCATTTTATCTATTTTAATACAGTTTACCAGTGATTGGTGCCAAAAAAGGGGCTCCAAATTGACTCCCAATTTGTGGTGGAGGTGCCAAATTTTGAGGAATCGCTAAAAAGGTTTTTTAGATGAAAATGATTTGATTTTGATTTGCTCACCTCCAGACTGCATAAATGTGGCATCAGGCTGAAATTCTTGTTATTTTCTTTGCTTCAAATTTGATCTTTACTTACATAATATGCTCGTTGCTGCGCTTGTTGCATCAGTTGAGCGGTGAAGAGTTGACGACGATGAAGCTGGAAAATAGAGACGTTTAAACATTCATAAAACTTCTAGAAGTTGATCTAAAAGCTCTAGAACTTTATGAACTTAAAGCTTTTATTTTCTTTTACTTCAGCCATGATGAATGGATCGATTTGTGCATTGGATCGATCAATGGATTGAGTCGATTCTCCGATCGCTCTCCCAGCTCGATTCGTCAAATGTTGCAATTGGGATTGTTTGGCTTGCTGGAGGAGGAGATCCTAAAGTTCAAATAAAAGAAAAACTTGTACTAGACAGAGCTAGACTAGTGCTAGACTAGACTAGTACTAGACTAGACTAGTGCTAGACTAGACTAGTGCTAGACTAGACTAGTTTACTAGTCTAGTACTAGTCAATTACAAGCACTAGTTTTCCATTTTCCAATCCAAACCTGCTTTGCTTTAATCAACTCCAATTCTCGTAACGCTAAAAGTTGTCGGGCTCTCATCAACAAGTTTAGATTCACATTCTGATTGCCTACTCCTTGCGGAATCACAAATGAGTTACCTAAAGCAAATTTCTTATATTTTTAGTTTTTATAGTTTTACACTACACTACATGAAAAAATTTCAAGCCGAACCCAATTCCATCTTGATTTTCTCAGCCGTCTCTTAGCCGATTGCTCTGAAATGGCTGAGAAAATGAAGGTGGAATTAGGCTCGGGTTGGAATTTTCCTATTTTACTACCTTGAGCTCCAGGAAAGATCTGGATTCCTGAATTCGGTTGAGTTGGTTGAAAAGGAATTGGAATTTGGTTTGACATAGGGAATTGCGGTTGAATTGGAGGGATCTAAAAAGCAATCGGCAATGAGAAATGTGGCAATGAAAAAACAATGAGAAGCGATTTCCCTTACATTCATTGATGGCACAAGGTTTGCCTCGAAGAGTGCTTGTGGAGGGCGTTTGTAGTTCTAAACTTTTGATCTAATTTTAGATTTTGGTACTGTTGCTTTGTAGTTATTGCTTAGACTTTTTGCTTAGACCAGAAAGGCTGCAAGGACAGCCTTTCTGGTGCAGGGAAAAGGAGCTTTTTCTGGTTAGTTGGCTCTCAGCTTTTCTCCGACAGCTTTGGTTCAGAAAGAAAGGATGCGTTTCCGTTTGTATTTGGCAGAGTACGCACAAGACAAGCTAATTCTTGATTAGATTTGTTTCTTTTGATTAGATCTTAGAAGATTTTCTTACAATCTTTTTCCAATCTTCTTCCAATTCTTCTTCCAATTCTTCTTACAGTCTTCTTCCAATCTTCTTCCAATTCTTCTTGCAATTCTTCTTACAGTTCTTTTTCCAATTCTTCTTCCAATTCTTCTTACAATCTTCTTCCAATTCTTCTTACAATTCTTCTTCCAATTCTTCTTTTTTTCCTCTTCTTCTTAGTCAAGTTATTCAAATAGAATTCAAATAGAATTCAAATAGAATTCAAATAGAATTCAAATCAAATTCAAATCAAATTCAAATAGAACTCAAATAGAATCCAAATAGAATTCAAATCAAATTCAAATCAAATTCAAATCAAATTCAAATAGAATCCAAATAGAATCCAAATCAAATTCAAATACAAATCACAGATCTTATTTAACATTTTCCTACCATAATCAACTTCCTCTTTTCCGTACCTTTGAGTTAAATGTTGGATATGAATGGTATCCTTTTGCGAGAAGTTTTCGATATTCTTCAGGCAGATTTTCTGGAGATATCTCAAGTGTTGGAGTGCCGGATGGTCCTGTTTCAACTTTGATTCCACTTTGATCCTCTTGTTGAATTTCTCTCTTGAAATCTGGGCCTAAAATTTTGTTATCATTTTGTCATCTCAAATCGAGGAAAGTTGAAAAAATTTGAATTTGAAATTTGAAAGTTTTTAAATGAAAATTTGAAAAGCTTGCTTGAGAAATGATGAGAAAAATCAGGAAAAAAGCAAAGCGCATGTAGAAATTACTGTAGAAATTTGCATGCAAAGCTTTTATGTTTAATGGTTGTTTGGTTGTTTAATGCTTGTTTAATGCTTGTTTAATGGTGGTTTAATGGTTGTTTGCTTGTTTACTTGTTTAATGCTTGTTTGCTTGTTTGCTTGTTTGTTTGTTTGCTTGTTTAATGCTTGTTTAATGCTTGTTTAATGCTTGTTTAATGCTTGTTTAATGCTTGTTTAATCCTTGTTTAATGGTTGTTTGCTTGTTTAATCCTTGTTTAATCCTTGTTTAATCCTTGTTTAATCCTTGTTTAATCCTTGTTTAATCCTTGTTTAATCCTTGTTTAATCCTTGTTTAATGGTTGTTTGCTTGTTTACTTGTTTAATGCTTGTTTGCTTGTTTGCTTGTTTGTTTGTTTGCTTGTTTAATGCTTGTTTAATGTTTGTTTAATCCTTGTTTAATCCTTGTTTAATGGTTGTTTGTTTGTTTGCTTGTTTAATCCTTGTTTAATGCTTGTTTAATCCTTGTTTAATCCTTGTTTAATGCTTGTTTAATCCTTGTTTAATCCTTGTTTAATCCTTGTTTAATCCTTGTTTAATCCTTGTTTAATGCTTGTTTAATGCTTGTTTAATCCTTGTTTAATCCTTGTTTAATCCTTGTTTAATCCTTGTTTAATGGTTGTTTAATGCTTGTTTAATGGGTCGTGTCCGTTTCCTTCCTATTTGCGTTGCTATTTTGCAATTATTCGCGTCGCATTTTTCGTCCTTTTTTTGGTCCGCAGGTTTTTTGCCTTCTTTCTCGGGGGACTTTGTTGTTTCATTTTTGATGCGCATGCTGTTTTTGTAATGGGTATTGTTGCATTTCGGTTCTGTACTAATAAACAGTAACGTTATAAATTCACTTTATCTTATGCTACCCTTCAGGTTTTAAATCCTGATAACTGGTTAATTTTAGATAACTGGTTTAACATTGTAGAGAGGTTTAACATTTTAGAGAGACTGGTTTAACATTGTAGAGAGGTTTTACTAACATTTGTGTCACCATCGACGTAGTATCAATCCGATCTGTACTCTTCTCAAGAGTATTAATCTATTGTTGGATACTACGTGTTTCAACAATAGATTAATACGTTCCTGTTACGTTCTTGTTACGTTGTAAGCGCTTTTGGGGAAACCCTTTTACCCTTTTGTGCTATTCGGCCATTCTTAAGCAGCTTAAGCATTCTTAAGCAATCATCCTCGTTGATAAGGTTAAAGCGGTTGTGCTTGTTTAATGCTTGTTTAATCTAAAAGCTCTTATCATTTGCAAGCGACAACAAATCAAGCAACATTCCCACCGATTTCCACTTCGAAACTCGTTTTTCTTCTCGCTTTTCCCTCAACCTCTTCACTATTCACCGATTTTTCTTCTAATTCTTTCAATAATCGATCCAATTCGGCCACTTCAGCCACTTCAGCCGGCTCTTTTTCATCGTTTTCATAAAATTCTTCATAATCTTCATCATTATCATCATCTTCTTTAACTTCATCGAATCCTTTTCGAAAAACTTGTAACTTTTCTTTTGAATCCATTGGCTCACTTTCGAAATCCTCTTGAGAATTAAAAAAGATTGGCATTTCAGAGGAAGCAAAGCCGTTCCTTGAACTGAAAAAAGCTCGTGCTCGTCGAAAATTTGCATTTGCATTCGAGGTGCGATTTGCGGGAAAGGACAGAGAAAATCCAGAAAAAGCTGATGAGGAACCTTTTGTTGGGGTCGAAGATTGATTGTTTGTACCATTTGAGAGTTGGGCAATGATTGGAGAGGGAGTGGACTCGGGTGGCTGAAAGAGCTATTCGACATCGAGAAATCAAAGGTTACAAACGGGGTTTTATGGTAAACTAAATGAGACAATGGTGGACGAAAACACGAGCCAAATCTAGGTCAGACTTTTTGGTATTGATCTTTTTAAAACTAGAAAACAGTAAAACCAGGAAAGTCAAGGGCAGATCATTAAAGATCATCAAAGATGCTCCAGGCTTTTGAATTGGCTTAGGCTTAGGCTTAGGCTTAACCCTTTGCTTGGACTTGATAAAGATTCATTTGGACTTGATAAAGATAAAGATTTAAGAGACTACAAGAGCTGATTTAATAGGCTACAATTCTAGCGAACTTTTCGGAAAACTCGCTGAGAAATGTGGTTTATTTTAAAGGTACTAACACTTAGTTTATTTCAAAAGTATCAAGTATTATATAGAGAATTGTAGCCCTGAATCTTGGCTACATTTATCTACCAAAAACTTCTCGATTCGACTTATACAACTCATTTAACAAGCGATTGAATGAGCGCTAGTCGACATCTTTCCAAATCTGTCATTTAGTCACTTTTGGTTACGTCACTTTAGCTAAAATTGCTAAATGTTATTCTTAATGTTATTAAATGATGCTAAACTCTATTTTTCCAATATTCAAAAGCTTTTCTAAACAATTTTTTATAGAAAACAGCAGTTTCAGCAGCAAAAATCAGCAAAATGACGGTTGAAACTAGCGCTCATTCAATCGCTTGTGAAATGAGTTTTATAAATCAAATCGGGAAGTTTTTGGTAGATAAATGTAGCCAAGATTCAGAGCTACAATTCTCTATATAACACTTACCTCTGAAATCAATTACACATTTCCCAGCTACTTCTCCAAAAAGTCACCATGTACTTCTGAGCTCACCGTCGGTGCAACGATCACAAAGTGTTTTCTTTTTGATTGTAAACGATGAACGGCTGTTGTTGGTCGTAATGGGTTCTCGGTTGTCGTCTTTTCATTAACTCCTTCTTCGACTCGTCGTCCCTTTCTCGCGATTTTTCTTACTTTTCTTCTCGGTTGCTCGGATCGGGTGATGTCCTCGAATTCACCCTAAAAAAGCTAACTTTAAGTCGCTTTTGGCTAACTGTAAGCTGCTTACAGTTAGCCAAAAGCTAAGCATACTTCCTGGAAACTTACATCATTCAAGAATTGTGCATGCTTTTCCGAGTGTCTAGCTAATCGAGAGCCTTCTAGAGTGATCTAAACCTTTTCCTTTCAAAGTTCGTTGTGAAAAAACTTACCAACTTTGGCATCACTCCAAGCGCCTTGGACTCTGATGCTTGAAGGTTTCTAAATCGAATTGTTCGGATTTTGAATTGGATCGGAAAGATCGGAGCGAAATTTGCGTAAAGGTAGACTTGAAATTCTCAAATCTTATCTATCTAACTATCTAATTTGAACTATTTAACTTGAACTATATAATTTGAACTATCTAATTTGAACTAACTAACTAACTAACTAACTAACTAACTAATTAACTAACTAACTAACTAACTAACTAATTAACTAACTAACTAACTAACTAACTATCAAGTCTAAAGCTTTGCTAACGTATTCCTATCTCAAACACTTCTTCGAATCAAATCAAACAAATCAAACAAATCGAAATGCAGTTCAATAGCTGACCGAGCTCCTCTCGCCGCTGGTACAAGACGCCATTTCCTTGCTTGTGTCTAAAAAAGAAACATAGAGAAATTCTAGAAAGTCTATTTTTCTATTTTTCTAAAAGAAAAGAAGTATAGGACAAAATCTTGATGAGAAAATTGTCCTTGGATTTGCAGAAAGTTTAAACAGCTGACTTTAGACACTGTTGAAGTCGGTATTTTGATTTTGATTATTATTTTGATTCTTTTTCTTTCTTAAAGCTACTCACAATCAGTTTATATAATAAATGAATTCCCTATTCACCTGATTTAGTGGATTGTTTTGCGCTTCAACCACTGCAATGATGACGAAGAATAAGAAGAATAAGAAAAGTCTCATAGGGAATATTTCAAAATCAGCCGTTCCTAAACAAAGCTCTCTAGGCGTTTCTAAACAAATCGATATACAAAATAAATGAATGCTTTCAATGTGACTGAGTATGTCGAATAATCGAATAGTTCACTGTTGACAAGGTTGACTTCTTTAGCAAATCTTCGCCCTGTCACTTCTTTCAAAGCTTTCACTCTCACAATGCTCGCTTCTTTTTTTGTCCAAAAAAAAGTCCCCTTTTCTCACTTTTGTTCAAAAGAATCGCAGAAGGCAAATCACCAAATTACCCGCTTTTTTGAAGTTTTCTTGAGTTTTCTTGAGACACTTACTAATTAAATGAGATCAGTCATTGTTCTTCTTCTTCTTCTTCTTCTTCCTCTTCCTCTTCCTCTTCTTCCCCTTCTTCTCCTTCTTCTTCTTCTTCTTCTTCTCCTTCTTCTTCTCCCTCTTCTTCTCCCTCTTCTTCTCCCTCTTCTTCTCCCTCTTCTTCTTCTTCCCTCTTCTTCTTCTTCCTCTTCTTCCTCTTCTCCCTCTTCTCCCTCTTCTTCCTCTTCTCCCTCTTCTTCCTCTTCTCCCTCTTCTTCCTCTTCTCCATCTTCTCCCTCTTCTTCTTCTTCTCCCTCTTCTTCTTCTTCTCCCTCTTCTTCTTCTCCCTCTTCTTCTCCCTCTTCTTCTTCTTCTCTCCTCTTCTTCTTCCTCTTCTTCCTCTTCTCCCTCTTCTTCCTCTTCTCCCTCTTCTTCCTCTTCTCCCTCTTCTTCCTCTTCTCCATCTTCTCCCTCTTCTTCTTCTTCTCCCTCTTCTTCTTCTTCTCCCTGTTCTTCTTCTTTTTCTAGACTCTCGAAATGAACTCATCTATCAAATATACTATGTGAAATGAATGGGAAAATCGAATAAAAAAGATAAGCAGTTATTGGGAAAAAATCTAAAGTTTGACTTTAAAAAGGCTTGAAACTTAAAACTTGATGAATCTTGATGAATGTGAATTGAGGAATTTGACTTAAAACAAATCGTAAATCTACTTCGATGTCTATTACAGTATTTCAGATTAAATTCATCATTCAGTCAGATTAAATTCATCATTAAAACCTTACAAACAGATGTTGACTATTAACCGAGAAGAAAATAAAAAGATTTCAAGAAAATAAAAAGTTTTGCGGAAAGCACTCTGATATGTCTATTTGGAGATTCTTATTGCAGAATTCGTATTTTTGAAGTCAGAGAAGCTTCGCCACAAAGTGAACACATTTCTTTTCACAATACGATCGGAGAAAAAGAACATGAACATTTCAATGTAAACAATGGGTAATAAATATCTACAAAATGGCATAATAATAGATACAGAGTGTAGATGGACAAAATGAAACTTTAGAGAGCAAGCTTTTCTTTTAAAATCTTTATTTGATAACAATGAACAACAAATTAGCAATTAAACTCAAAGCGATCACAATTTTTAGCCGAGCACGGTGCCAAGTGTTTGGGAAACGATCAATTAAATCGAATCAATCGAATCAATCGATCGAATTCGATCAATTAAGCATCATCGAGTTCATTCCAAGCTTCTAGAAGGCTTTTCTTTAAACTTTTAACATAGGTTAATAGTTAATAGCTGGCCCTTACTAACCACTGATCTGACCGGGAAAATTTCTGATTTAAAAACGAAATTGCTGTCATTTTTGTTTTGCTGTCATTGAATTTCTCATTTCAGTTGTTTCGTCTACTTTCAAAATTCGTGGCCATGGCAGAAAAGACGGCATTAGTGATCCTCGCTGATGGAGCCGAAGAAATGGAAGCCACAATTGCCAATTTGACATGCTTCGTCGGGGTGGAATTAAGGTTTGTTTTTGCATAATAAGATGGCATACACCAAACCAAAGTTCGTCTCATGATTAGACTATTAAATGCCTTTCTGTTTCGGTGAGGTGGCTAATTGATGCTGTTTAGAGAAAGCTTTTGTCTCAAGGATGTACCAAAAAATCCATCGGAAGATCCGGCGAGCTGAGTGATTCAGAAAAAGAGATGAAATCGAGAAATTTCACTTGGAATTCTTCACTTTCTGAACCAAAGCCTTGTTGAAACGTTTGAATTTGATTTTTTAAATCCTTTTATGTGGAGAATACTTTATGCTTAGTGGAGAATACTTAGTGGAAAGTTTCAGCTTTAAAAAGTTTGTGATAGTTAATAATAATAGATGATAAGGATTATGATTATGGCCTATAACCATGGCCTATAGACAAAACAAATCCAAACAGCCAACTTTTATCGATTCTTTTTCGATAAAACAGATTCAAACGATGAACTTTATCATATTCTTTTTATTGAGAGAATGGACTGGGACTTTTATCTATCCTGTGAGACTTTTATCTATCCTCTGGGACCTTTATCTATCTTGTGGGACCTTTATCTATCTTGTGGGACCTTTACCTATCCTGTGGGACCTTTATCTATCCTGTGAGACTTTTATCTATCCTCTGGGACTTTTATCTATCCTCTGGGACCTTTATCTATCTTGTGGGACCTTTACCTATCCTGTGGGACCTTTATCTATCCTGTGAGACTTTTATCTATCCTCTGGGACTTTTATCTATCCTGTGGGACCTTTATCTATCCTGTGGGACCTTTATCTATCCTCTGGGACTTTTACCCGTCAGATATAAACATAGATTGAAACTTTTCTCAATTGAAACCTTAGAACAGCGCCGTCTTATCATAGATTTGGTTGAGTGGTTTAAAATTGTAAAAGGAAAACATCAAAACCCTTTTTTAAAAAAATTTTTTTCGGCTAAACTCGAGGCTTTTGGCGACTAGACGTGGCTCTTTTGCATCCCGATTGCTATCTTGCATCCCGAATCTGCTTTCTCTAAATCCTCTAGAGCTTTTTTTCTAAATCGTGTGATTAAAGTTTGGAATGCCCTTCCCGACAAGTTGCGTTTGATCTCCACTCTCTTCTGATTCCCCACCCTCTTCTGATTCCCCACTCTCTTCTGAAAGGAACTAAATAGGAACTAGAAAGGAACTAGAAAGGAACTAAATAAGAACTATAATTTTAAAAGTCTGATTTTAAAAGGGCTACTTCGTTGCATTTTAAGTGACTTTGTGATCTTTGACCTGGTACATTTTTCATGTCGTTTTCGCACTTTATTTCTTTCTAAATAAAGTATTTTTATAATTCATCTTCAAATTTGAAGTGAATGAACTTCTAAAAACGGATTTCCATCGATTTTTCTTCTTTTTCCAAGAGAAAGAAAAGAGAAAACGGATAAATTTCCGATTTTTGACCTTTATATGCAAATTTCTAAGCTAAATAAGTTTCTATTAAAAGAAAAATGAAAGAAAAGTTATAAATGATGGAAGATTCCATCAATTTTTCAACAATTTTTCCTTTTTTGAATGAATTCCCCTTGAAAATGTAGAGATTTCAATTTCAAAGTAATTCCTTCACCGCTTCAAAAACCCCTCTCTTTCCCCAGCAAACATCTGCTTCTGTGGCGCAATCGGCAGCGCGTTCGGCTGTTAACCGAAAGGTTGGTGGTTCAAGCCCACCCAGGAGCGAAATTTTTTTGAATTTTTGAAAATCTCGAAATTTTTCTTTGGCAATCATCAAGAAGTCACTCTAGCTATAAGCAAGAAGCTACTCTAGCTATAGCATCAAGAAGGCACTCTAGCTATAAGCAAGAAGCTACTCTAGCTATAGCATCAAGAAGCTACTCTAGCTATTGTAATTATTGTCCACTCTGTACAAGAAGATGAACGTCTAAATGCACAATTTGATTTCAATTTGATTTCAATTTCAATTTCAATACTTCTCTTCTCTTTATTCACTGTCTACAAGTTGAATTGAAATCGAAGACTCCATAGAAATTTGTTTAGCGTTTTGAGCCTCGTAAAAGGCTTAATTTGAAAGAATTTCAGAAGCTCACTTGTTTTTTTTCAATACTGTTCTCTGTTTCAAGTCAAAAATAACATTTTTACACAAAAATTGCTTTAATACTTGAAGTTTTTTTGATTTTAAACGAAAATCAATATTATACTACACAAGCTTAAAAGCTCAACAATTGCTATTTTTCGCCGAAAACCACCGTTATCTCGTTTTAACTCCGTACCTTTAGCAAGTCACCGTTTTCGGTGATTTTCTAAAAGGCACTAGCGGCAATATTGCAAAATACACTAAAAACATAAGGGGAAACCGTGGCCGAGTGGTCTAAGGCGCGCGACATGAATCCCGCGCAAAAGTATGGGGTTGTTGGTTCGGCTCTCCCGCGCACTTGAGCCATTATTTTGGTTCGGCTCTCCCGCGCACTTGAGCCATTATTTTGGTTCGGCTCTCCCCGCGCACTTGAGCCATTATTTTGGTTCGGCTCTCCCCGCGCACTTGAGCCATTATTTTGGTTCGGCTCTCCCGCCCACTTGAGCCATTATTTTGGTTCGGCTCTCCCGCGCACTTGAGCCATTATTTTGGTTCGGCTCTCCCGCGCACTTGAGCCATTATTTTGGTTCGGCTCTCCCGCGCACTTCAGTCATTATTTTGGTTCGGCTCTCCCGCGCACTTCAGTCATTATTTTGCATATTCCTTAATTGTTTTGAGTGCATACGATACATAGCTACATTGTTCTTTTGAACAAAACAATTGTGCAATCGAGAATTTATTAAATTTTCTCATTTCTTTTTTAAAAATGTTATAACTTTTTGTAGAGTTGAGCAAATTTGATGATTTTTGCATCAAAATGTTCGTAAGAGCCTTTAGAATAAAAATTATCCCTTCGTTTTTGGTTCTAGACCCTCGTTGTCGAGTTACGAGCCCCAAACTGCAGGGTACCACAAAATTTCCCATACAAAATGACCAAAAAACCGCTAAAACTCAATTTAAAAAATTTCTGTCAAGGGGATTTGAAAAATTCCTTCAGATTCGGAATCAGCACAATTTTCCACATCTAAAAAAGGTACTCCCAGAAAAATCCGATAGAAAACGCATTTTTGCCTTATTTCGCGCCGATGTGCGACGCCCTTTCTC